CTAGGACCTCAAGAGGTCAGGTTATCATGGGACCCAGTCAGGGGGGTCAGGGGAAGCCCCTACCCCAGGAGTCCTCATACAGGGATTCTGGACCCTAGGAGCGGCCTGGGGACAATTGTGGTGGTGACCATTTGGGGGGTACTACTGGCATTGAGTAGGTGGAGGCTGCTCAACACCCCACAGAGCACCCCCACTCAGAGTCACCATTGTCAGGGGATGGGGCTGTCCTAAAATCAGAGTATCCTGTCTCTGAGCGCTCACCCAACACCCCCATCATCTTTGGGGCACAGGCTGTGCAAAGCAGCCCCAGGAAGGGGCTGGGCCCCCCGCCTGACACAATCATGCTCCCTGGCCCCATGACTAACACCTTTCTGGGCCAAGTCACCCCTACCCCAAGGACCTTGGCAGGACCCGGCCTAGCTCTCTGTCCCATCCAGGCCCCAATCCCTGCATGGCCCTGGTGGTAGGAAGCCCACCCTGGGGGGATGCCCGGCCAGCTGCCCCAAAGCCCCAGGGAGCTCTGGGCTCAGCACGAGGTCCTAAGGGGCATTGGCCATAACCCCCAAAGTCACCCTCCCTGTCACCCACATGATGGGTGTCTCAAGGTGCCTGTGGATGGGAGTGGGCGGGTAGGACCCCTAGTCCTGTAGGGACCCTAGAGGTCCCTAGCTGGAACCTGCCCTTCAGTGGCTCCCCTGTGGGGATACCCAACCTGTGATCTACCCACCCAAGCCATTCCCCTGGTGGGGGAAGGGGTTGTGGGCAATGACCACTGGACAGATGTATAGACAGACGGATGCCATGGGGCCCCCAAGCCTCGGATGGCTGCCACACTAGAGCCTGCTCTCTGAGGCCTTCCCCAGATGTCCGCACAGCCACAAAGTCCTGGGGCAGAGGGGTCCTGACAGGAGTGAGGGGGTTCTGGGAGGTGGGTGGGGACACTTGGGGGTCCCAGGAGATGAGGGGCAGGGGGGTTTAGGAGAGCTCTGGGAGGTGGGGGTGAGCCCTTGTGGGAGGGGAGCCCAGGCCCCATGCCTGCCTCCAGCCCTCCCAATTCTATTTCAGGACCATCCACCCCCCACCCCCACCCCCACATCTGCTGTTCCCATCACGTCTCACTCACCACCTCCCTCCTCCCTCCATCAGCAGTTACTGTGCCTGCCTGGCTCCCACTGCCAGCGTCCTCCAAGAACCCCACCCACCTCCTCCGACCTGGCCTTCCACACACTGGCAGGCCCCCAAGGGGGTGTCCTGGGGGAGGGGTGACCACTCGCAGGACCACAGGCTCTGTTGTCCTCTGTGCCCAGGGCCCAACATCCAGCCACCGGGCTCCTGGGAGCCCCGGTCTCCTCCCCACCCCAGTCAGCAGGGCTTAACTGACTGAGTGTGGTGGAAGGACAGGCAGATGGATGGAAGAGTGGCCGCCTCTCTCCAAAAGTCGGAGGGGGCTGGAGGATGCCACCCCCAGGAGCAGAGATGCTCACAAGGGGTCCCCAGACTCTAAGGGGCTTCACCTACAGACCACAAACCCCAAAGGGCGGGAGACAGGGGACAAAGGTGAGTGGGGGCAGGTCTGGAGCACCAGCCCTGAGTCCCCTCCTGTCACTTCCCAAGGGGCTACAAGTCGCACAGCATCACCCCCCCAAAAAAAAAGACATGCATTCTGGGGCTGCCTTGCCTGCCCCCAAGAACTAAGAATACCCCTGCTCTCGGGTGGTGACGGGCTGGCCCATCCCAGCAGCCACCAGGCTGCCTGGGACAACCTAGTGCCACCGGGAGTTCTGTGTTTCAGACATCCTTTTAATGGGGGGCAGGGGGTCCTGTATCACCACTGTGTGTCACTGTCCTGCACGCCCTGAGGGGGCGGGGGGTGGGGTGGTTTTTGTACTTACTTTTCATTATGTCTCACAACAGGGGGGGTTAAAGGTCTCGGGGCTGCAGAAGCCGCTTGGGGCTGGCGCGCCTGGCTTTATAGGGGTGACTGTGACCGGGCGGACCTCCAGGGTTATTAATAGCATGTCCTCCACAGCATCTCATGACCTACTATGGTCAAGAGGCAACAGCTGAGGACTTGGCTGGACCCCGGCCGGTTTGGCAACTGGTCAGAAGCCCCAGGATGGGGCAGGGGCCGGGACAGTGACCTGTACCCCACAAGAGGTGGCCAGCCACCCAGCGTGACTTGGCAGCTGGAGCCCTGTCGGCATAGTGACTTAGGGGCTGCTCACCCCAAGGTCAGTCCTTAGAACCCACCAGCCGTGGCCTGGTGGCAACATTTAAATGTCAACATTGAAAGTCTCAAAGTCACGGGTCCTGTTTCTGCTCTGTCCTGTATGGTCGCTATGAGTCGGATCGATGCAATGGCAGTGAGGTTTTGTTTTGCGTCTGAGGTTGGAGCCCCTCCGTGGTGCAGAGGGTTAAGGGCTGGTCTTAGTTGGAGCCCCTCCGTGGTGCAGATGGTTAAGGTTGGTCTTAGTTTTCCAGTGCCACTCAAACAGAGCCTTGTGACACCGCGGTTACTAGTTGGGCTGTTAGCCAGACGGCCAGCCATTTAAAACCAGCTGCTCTCGGAGAAAGGGGAGGCGTTCTCCCACAGGGCACTTCCACCCTGTCCTACAGGGTCGCTGGGAGTCAGCACCAACTCAATGGCAGCGAGTTTGCATTTTTGCTCTAAAGACCCTAAGAGGGGGTGCTTTCATGAACAGACACCGATTTTCTCAGTTTTCAGGCCAGAAGCCCGTATTCTGGGACCAGCTCTCGGGGAAGGTCCTTGTCTCTCTGCAGCTTTTCTCCTGGTCCCTTGGCGATCCCCACACAGCACCCGTCCCAGCTATCTCCTTTCTGGACCTCTCAGGCTGTTTCCATCTCCAACCCTCGGCTAAGGACACGCCCTACATTGGCAGGGACTGTTCCCAGCTAAGATTCCATCCACAAGGGCCAACCCAACCCAACCCCCGCCCTTTCCTCACTCGGTCTTCTGGGACAGAGGCGAGCTGCTCCCCAGGGTTTCTGAGACTGTAAATCTTTCCTGGAATGGACAGCTTCTTCTTTCTCCCAAGGAGAGACGGGTGGGTTTGAACTGCTGACCATCTACTTACAGCCCAGTGACATGCAGCAAGTATCAGGGGGACCACTATTGACAACACATGGGGGGGGGGGGCCACAATTGAATCCATAACAAAACTGACCCCCGGCCCGAAGGGTGGTGGTTTGAACTCACCCAGAAGTGCCCCTTGGCTCTCCCTGACCCCCACGGAGTGGCTGTGGATCAGAACACGCTTGTGGACTGTCCCCTGGGACACCGACTGCTCCCTGTCCCAGAAGGTAGGTGACACTGCTGTCCCTAGGAGAGGTGCAGGGAAAGCCACAGCTTGCTAGGGGCCAGGACACGGTTAGGGTTCACTGGAACCCTGAGCTGGCTCATCTGGCAAAGGTGAGGGTCTTTGAGACCCTCAAGAGGCAGGCCTCATTTTACATGGGGAAGTGATGCCACAGAGCCCCTAGGTGGCACAAGCAGCTAGGTGAGCAAGCTACTGTGGCTTCAGAGGTGGGCTAGCAGACCCAGGGGCACCTTGCGGCGCAGCTCTGGCCTGTGACTTGTGGCTGCTATAGCAACCACGGTAGTTGCTTTGTGTGGTCCAATCGGGCTGCTGTGACATCGGTACAAGTCGTTGACTTTTTAAAGTTGAGATCCATTTCCTCACCGTGGGGCGGGTGCGAACTCAGGGGGGTGGGGGACGCTGGCTGGGCCCCGTTTGAAGCTCCTCCCATTAGGTCATCTACCAGAGGCAAGCCCTCTAGGCATGGCTCTAGGGGGAAGGCTGTGTGGGCCCTGGGACCCCTAGTCTCAGCTTCTGCGCTCCTGCTTGCCTCAGTCCTGGACCATCGCCACAGGGCCCCCCTTTCTCCCTTCTGGGCTTGCCTGTGGCCCACGTGCTCTTCCCATGGGTGGGTGTGAAGGTCAGCGGTGACCTACACCAACATGGCAGGAAGCAAGCTTCCTGAGCTGAGCTGACATCACACTAGTAGCTGCCAGGGGTGAGCCGGGGGCAATGGTGAATCACTGATTGTGGTGGGGGGAAGGGATGATGGGAGTGGCCACCAATGGACAGGGGGTGGTGGAGACGTGACCACAGGTGGGTGTGAGGCTCCATTTGGGTTGGTGAGTGCCAGCAGCAGATGGTGGTGACAGTGACCAGGACCATGCACCCAGTTGACATAGTGGCCGGCATCTGGGGCCAGGGCCACACAGACCCTCTTCAGGCTGGGGACTCTTACTTTTCACCTGCGGCCTCTCAGGAGAGCAAGAGGACAGAGCACGCCTAAGAGTGGCCTCCGGTGACCTCAAAACGCCCCCCTCCCTGCAGGCCACTCAGATTGGACAGGCATCTTTAACACTGGCGGCCTCTTCTGGACCCAAACCACAGGGAGAGCTGGGGTCGGTAACGCCGGGGTTTATTTTCCCACAAACTCCGACTCGGTCACAGCGGGGAGCAGGTGGCTCAAATGGCAACGCAACGTGGTGGTGCGAGGGCGGCCCCCGGTGGCCAGAAGAAGTACTGCAGCCGCTAGCGCACAGGTGTGGCGACCAGCAGGGCAGCCCTGGGGACCCTCCTGGGAGTTTAGAGTTACAAAGGGCAAACTTTCCCAGAACAATCTCTCCCTTCCACGAGGGGTAGGGAGCGGAGCGGCATGGAAAGACAGGTACCATAAGGACCCCGGGGTGGGGGGTAACTCCCCGCCCCAATCAAGCGCACAGGCTTGGCAGGAGTTCCCAACACCCTGCTCCCCTGAATAGGGGTCTCTCCCTCAGTGTTGCCCCCAAGGACCACCTGGGGCAACAGGTGTGGACAGGCATGAGGGAACCGTGGCCTCCGAATCTGGTAAATGGGGGGTGGTGGGAGCGCCATAGATGACAAAGCCTCGTCCAAACCTCAAGTCCAGGACTCAGGTCTGCGCCTGGCAGGCCCCTGGGGTCTGCAGGGAGCCGGCACTGCCCTGGGTGAGACGGGGCCGGCAGCGGGGCGGGGCGGGGACCTGCGTGGGCATGGCCTGCGGGGCGCCCCCAGGGCCCTAGCGCAGCCCGCAGTCGCCAGCCTGCGCCTTCTCCTGCTCCAGGGTGCGCACCAGCTCCTGGACGAAGCGCATCTCGGAGGCCACCTGCTTGGCCAGGGCTTCGTAGCGGTTCTCCAGGCGGCTGAAGCGGCGCTTGAGGCCGCTGGCGCCCAGCAGCGCGCCGCGGGCCTCCTCCTGGGCCTGCCGCTTGAGCGCCTCGGCCCCGCGCAGCTCCTGGCGCAGGCGCCGCAGGTCCTGGCCGAAGGCCTCGTGCTCCTCCTTGTACCACGCCTCCTTCTCCTCGTAGATGGCCGTCAGCGCCTCGATGTCCTCGCGGAAGAGCCGCTGGTGGCGCTCCAGCTCGCGCAGCCCCTCCTCGGCCGCCGCCACCTCCTCCAGCACCTTGGAGAAGCGCTCGAAGTTGATGTAGGTGTGGTTGGGCGGCATGCTGGAGTGGGACTTGATGGTGTACTCCTTGAGGCGCGTGGTCTTCAGCCGCCGCCGCTCGGGCTTCCGGCCGCTCTCCTCGCTGCGCACGTTCCGACGCTTGATGGCCTGGGGAAGGGGAGGGGATGGCGGGGCGCTGGGATGGGCGAGCCAGCCCCCCCCCCACCCCCACCCCGCGGGCCACATCTGGCCCTCCGCCTGGGCTTGTCGATAAAGTTTTATTGACATATTGCCTTTCGTTCCCGTCTTGTGGGCGGGGCCGGGTGGTCACCCCAAAGGCTCTCTCGTCTATCTGTACTCTGTACCCGGAATACTCTACCGTTTGAGAAACAGCGAGCCGACTCTGGCCTTTCAGAGACCCCTCTCTGGGGCATTTCTGGGGGGAGCCCCACCAGCCAGCGCCAGGGTCCCCATGCACCTCGCATGTCTGAGGGTGCCCTCCCTATGGGGGTGTGTAATGGGATTGCTCCGTGCTGTGGGAGGAGACCTTCCGGAGCCCAGATAATAAAAGGGCCATGTGGACGGTTCGCCCCGCTCACCTTGATCCAGGAATGTTCCAGACTCTGGGCGATGGTCATTCTCCGCCTGCAAGAGCCCCACACCAGTCAGTGACCACAAGCTAGTGGAACCCGCCCCCTGCGGCAGGCAGGGCAGCGAGGGTGGACACCGCCTCTTCCAGTCCACCTGTGGACACCTGCCCCTCAGGGCCCTGTAGCCCTCAGGGTGGGATGACCCTGCCTGAAGCTGCACCCCCAGACCTAACACACAGCCCCACTGGCCCAAATCCAAGCAGCAGCCCTGGGAGGTGTCTAAGGTGAGCCCCCCACACACATACACACACACTATGTCTGAGTGGGGGAAGGCTGTGACCCAACTTAGGGCGTGACTCTGGTGGTCTCAGGCAGGGCAGGAGATGCAGTGGAGACACACTGGGAGGGAGGGGACAGAGGCACATGGGGCCACTGAGAAAAATAGTCAAATTTCTAAGACACTGAAGTTTGAGGGGAAGCCCCCGAATATCAAGCCCGGTCCTGACGTTATGGGCACCAACAGCACGAGGAGGTCCAGGAATGGCTAACGCCTGCCCAGCCTGACACACAGCTCAGAGCTCAACCCGACACAAGGCAGTGTTCTGCCCCGCCCTGCTCCGCCCCACACACAGCCCTCTGGCCCCGCCCCAGGCCCCCTGGGCACTGCCCTTACTTGGGGTCTTTGACCAGCAGGCGGCGGATGAAGTCCTTGGCCAGCTCGCTGGTGTTGCTGAAGTACTCCTCGTCAAAGTCGTAGTTCACCGCCGAGATGTTGGTCAGCGTCTCCTGCTTGGTCTCACCCAGGAACGGGGACGCACCACTCAGGCTGCCGGCGGGGACGGGCACGGGCCTCAGTCCCCACCACCACCAGCGGCACCCCAGGGCCCCCGCACCTGCCTTCCCCATTACCCACGCTGCTCCCCCTCTGCCCCACCTGTACACATTTGGCATCAGAGCCCACCCCGTCCAAGTTACAAAGGCATCGTCAGGCAGACTGGCCGGGATGTCTCCTGGCCTGACCGAGGCCTCCCTGTGACCCCGAGGCGGTGCCAGGGTAGAAGTGTCTGTGTGTGAGTTCACCTGCAACCCACTGGCCCCTGGGTCAGATGCTGGGGTCCCCGCCTCTCTGCTTCCTAGACAGGAGGCAAGGTACCCACCCAAGCTCCACTGGACTGCCCAGAGAGGCCAGCAACCAGGCTGCTCCTGACCCTTCTCAGCCCTCCCTCACCCTCCCACTTCACCTGCCTTACCAGCCCCCGCATAGAATTCCTTCAGGACACCCTGACCACACCTCCCCGAGGCCTCCCCTGTGTGGCTTGCTCCCCATGCTCTGCCTGTGCTGTGTGACCTCTCTGTGTGCCCAGCCTGTTACCCCCGCCCCATGGTCCCCTCCCTGGCCCCCAGCCCCAGCCCGAGGCTTGGCACTCACAGAATGTAGGTGATCACACCAATGCTCCTGGAGGGGAACAGAAAGGAGACGTGTCAGCTCTGTGGGGGGCCCAGTGCCAGCCCTTACGGAGATTCTTGAGCCCAGTTCTAAGAAGGCAGGAGATGGGCAGGGGGCCACCGACAGCAGGCAGGCAGGGGACCCTAGACCTGCCGCTCTGGGGTGCTCTTGCCATCTGACCAGCTCCAAGCACCCAAGGACTCAACCTCTGTCCAGGTGGGCATGTGACCACCAGACCAGTCCCACCAGCAGGCCTGTGCAGGCCATGTGCCTATCTGCCTGCACAGAGGGGCGCTGGGGGCTGGGCTGGTTC